TTGTAAAATAGACAACGATTTTTAACCGTTGTCTCAACCCATTTTTAACCTGCTTAAATTTTAATCATATAAAAAAAATCAATTTATCCATTCACCATGGCCAAGTGTAGTTACATAATTTTGAAGAAGCTAAGCAAGGTTCAAAATATCAAGTCAAAATACTTTCATTACCAATTCTAATCGAATCATCATCCAAGTCATAATACTACAAAAAACAATTCTACGAACCAAGTCTAAATGATTACAACGTCAAATCATACCTACTCTATATAACTTGATAGAATATCGGCCCATTCTGAACGCACCAGATCAATAACCGCTTTGTCATAATCAACTTGTTGGAACTACATGTAAAAAAGTGAGTAAATAAATTAGTCTAGATATAATAAATTTGCAATGAAATGCGAACAGATGAGGTATTTATACACTACACAAGAATAAAAGTGAACCATTGATGCTATAGAATTGATGCAAAGAAACAAAAAAGTGGGAAAAATATGCAACTAAGAATATATATCCTGCTCAAATATGTTATCACAACGACATCCAAAACCTATACAATCTAATATATAATCTCACAATTTTCATAAATTAATAATCAGAAATTTCTATAGATATTTGCTGGGCGCCCGGATGTAGCCCAAACGTGATGACCAGGCAGCATGCCTTTTCTATTTTTCTAAGTAGTGGGGCCCATAAAAAAACTTATATTGCTGAAGAAAAAATTTACCCAAAAACTATCTCTACATTAGTTAAAACCCATTTGATGATTTTTGTTTTGCAAAAAAACACGAAAAAAAACCCAAATGGGTATGATGACTTTTTTGATTCACATACATAAGTTTAGACATGCAAAGCACATGGTAAGAAACTCCATAGTAAAAGATTGAGTTTGAAGGATAAATACTGTAAGCATTTTAGAACCATGTAACTTTAAAAATGATTGCAGAAGAATCATATGACTACCTCCCAGCGCAAAAGTAAATTAAGCGAGCCACATTAAGCTTTTCCTAGTGAGCCAAGCTAGCCTTGTTAAGAACCTGCCATACAAGAGTTGAACACGATAAATATTGTCAATCCTTGAACCCTAACTTTTACTTGAGTTGAACACGAAATTCAGTATTGCCTACTAAGTACTAATAAGGACATAGTTAATATAAAAAAAAAAGTCTTTGAAGAGATCTTTATGTAGTTCTTCTTCAAAGAAGGTGGATACATAAAACTACACATCAAATCTGGTTTTATAACTAGCATATCAGTGTTGATAGCCATGGAAAATAAAGATGTCTAATACAAGTGCCTCAAACTCAACACGCAAAAATCTGACAAATTTTAAACAGCACACATGCTTATAGTAGTTTTGAAGTAAGAATCAGAGAGAATAATAGAGGAAGAAAAAAGTGTGAAGTCACCTGAGTTACTAAAGGCTCATTCTCTAATATGGTATTTACATTTGCTGCTTCCAAAGCCTGAAGCTCTCTCTTTAACCTCTCAGAAAATGCCTCAGCTTCACCAATGCCCATGACATAACTGTAAACCATGCCACTCTAAACATAATCAGTAAAGCATTAAGATGATAAGATAAAATGATGAAAGAGTTAATTTTGTAACTTGTAAGTAAATGATTGGTGGGTTTAACTTTGTTTATTATGTTAGATGTCTTGGGTTCTATCTTTTTTGGTGGCATCCTTCACCTACTTTATAAAATCGTTGTCTTTGTTCTCAGAGACAACAAAGAAGCAACTCGGTTATATGCTAGATGTTGCACTTTAAAACATAAGGGTTGGTGTTGCTTAGTTGGTTAAGCCTTTGTTTGTTACATTGGAGGGCATAAGTTCAACTCTTGTTGGCAACATCTTTATTTTTATTTTATACAACTGTTGTCTTTTATAAAATAATAATGCGCAAATAAAACCGTTGTCTTAAATAAAAAATAGTTCATGCAACGACAACGGTTTTATAAAATCGTTGTCCTTTTAGTGTTGTGTATTCAAGTGCTATTAAAGACAACACACAAATGACAACAGTTAAATAAAACCGTTGTCTTTTAAAAAATAATAATGCGCAAAGACAACGGTTTTATAAAACCGTTGTCCTTGTAGTGTTGTGTATTCAAGTGCTATTAAAGACAATACACAAATGACAACGGTTAAATAAAACTGTTGTCTTTTAAAAAATAATAATGCGCAAAGACAACGGTTTTTAAAAAACCGTTGTCTTTGTAGTGTTGTTTATTCAAGTACACTTAAAGACAACATATCAAAGACAACGGTTAAATAAAACCGTTGTCGTTTAAAAAATAATAATGCGCAAAGACAACGGTTTTAAAAAACCGTTGTCTTTGTAGTGTTGTTTATTCAACTACAATTAAAGACAACATATCAAAGACAACGGTTAAATAAAACCGTTGTCTTTAAAAAAAAAACGCACATAGACAACGGTTTCTAAAAACCGTTGTCGTAGAAGTGTTGTCTTTTGTCAAATTGCACAAAGACAACACACTTATAACAACGGTTAAGTAAAAACCGTTCTCTTTGACAAAAGTGTTGCATCAAAGACAACGGTTTTGGACCAAACTGTTGTCGTTTATACAAAAGACAACACTTTTGTTAAAAACTGTTGTCTTTCTAGTGTTGTCTATGTGCATTTTTCTTGTAGTGGCATGATATCCAAATTATGTCGTACCAAGAGTGAACTCCAATACGGCAAATCCCAAAAGACTGTTCGCTTCTTCCAACCACAAGTTTTGGAAATGAATCCATTAACTTCAGGTGCATCCAATTCAGTGACCTTCTTAAGGCCTAAACTCTCAATCTCTGCAAGGGTATCATATCGTGACCGAACAAGTGGTGCCTCAATTGTAAGCGCTCTGTTCCTAATAAACGCGGTTTTATTCCTGTGAAATGGATTATATTATTCGCTAGCAAAATTTTTCGATGATTGTCACACAACGACTACTTACCATTTTGTTTTAGGGTGAAGGCTTTTGATTTGTCCATGCAATACGGACAAGCTAACCTTCCAGCAGTGCTCAACCTGGATAACATCGAATATGCAGGAAAATCACTAACTGTCCACATAAGGGCATCTCACATATGAAAATTCAGCTTCTTTGAAATATCATATGTTTGAACACCGACTTCCCACAATTGGTTTAACTCTACAATAAGCGGTTGTAGAAAAACATCTATCATCTATTTTGGGTTTTTTTGGACCTGGAACCAATACGGTCAAGATCATATACTCTTCCTTCATACACATCTAAGGAGGCAAGTTGTACTGTGTTAGTATCATAGGCCATGAAGAGTATTGTTGCCCTGACTGTCCAAATGGTTGAAAACCAAAGGTGCATAGACCTAACCTGACATTTCGAATTTTAGATGCAAAGTCAGGATAAATGTAGTTAAAATTCTTCCAAGTAAGCGAGTCTGAGGGATGATGCATGATTCCATCTTCAACTGATTTTGCATGCCACTTCATATCATTTTCTGTTGCATTAGATGCAAACAACCCCAGACTATTATTTTTTGGACACTTTTAGTCCTCCTCATAACTTTTTATATTTTTAGTAAGTCTATTTTTGTCTTTTATTATTTTTCCAGTTTCAATCGGTTTAATTGATTTAGAACTTCAGGTAACCTTTGATTTTGAGTAACCATATTTTTCAACCGGTTTGTAGTAAAGTTCTAAACCAATAAAACTGTTTGAAATTGGAAAAAAAAAAAAAAAAGAAAGATATGAAGAGACAAAAATGCCCTTACTAAAAATAAGAAAAGTCATGAGAATGACTAAAAGTGTTCAAAAAATAATAGTCTAGGGATGTAAAATGTCAAAAACGATAGTCTGTGACTAAATTTGGAATTGCCACCAAAGACAAAGGACCTCTGGTGGAATTAACTCTCTGTTATTTGTTTATACTTTACCCAACAAACAGCTAGAGTGGGAAAAATAAACAAATATCCCTAATAATCAAATATTTGAGAAATTTGATGACTACACATTTACAATATTTTTATTATAATTTAGTGAAAATTTTGAATGTTAATCATTTTTATTTAATTTGGTAATAAAAAATTGTTAATCATTTATAATGTGATTGTATGTTTATTATTTAGATAAAAAATAATTAACATAATTTAAAAAAATCAAAATTACAATATGATAACCTTTTCAAATATATAATACAAAATTGTGATATTATATGAATGAGCAGAGAACAAATGCTGTACAATACAAACAAGCAAAATGATAAATTAAAAAAAATAAGAAAAAAGAATTAAAGCTGATTAATAGGATTAGTGAAATTAGTTATAATGCTCTTGTGGCAAATAGCAGTACTTCAGAATTATGAATGAAATTAATTGCATGATTAACTCCGAAAGGGTTAATTACTCGTACGTTACTAGGGAAATGATGATCCCACTAGGTAGAATTCAACACATATAGTGTTAGAAAGCAGAAATACCAATTAATATGCTTTTGGTAGTCTAGGATTACATACAATTTTGCAAAAATCGCGCCTAACCGTTAGGCGGCGCCCGACCGCGTTAAGGAACGCTGGAATCGGCCTCCTCCGCAGCCGAATCCCGATTGTTTTTTTTTTTTTAAGGGTTATTTGTCAAAACGACGTCGTTTTGGCGAATAACCCCCTAAAAAGAAATCGGCCGCCTAGGGGACACCAAGCGTCTTAAAGAAACGACGTTTTGACCGCGTGCACCGCGGTCCACGATATAACAAGTGTTCGAACTTGTGACGGGCTAGCCCATATGAGCTGGTTGCTAGCCCGTTTTGAGTGGTTATTTTTGGTATTGTAATAAGCTAGCTGTGACTTTCATATGTATGAATTTTTCCATCTATTTTGTTCAATTATTGTATCATAATAATAAAACAGCTAACCTCTATTTCATTCATCACAATGATTTCCAGTTTCTCATCTCTATCATTAATGAATTCACTTTCACTGATTGCACAGAAACATGTATATAACTAAAACTTACAAATTAATTACCAAAGAAATTGAATTCATTATAAAAGAACAAAAAAGAATTTGGATACATACATCATTGATAATCAATGTTGCTTCTCCGTGCAGTGCCTGAGTGTTTTCAATTCTAAGGTTTGTTAGACCTATTGTACTTCATGTGACTCTTAACAAGCTGTCCTGCAGCTATTGCAGACATCAAAGAAAGCTCCCCAGCTAATACTGCTCCGGCAACCACGGTGGCCAACCTTCTAGAGTTGGCTCCGGGCACTTCCTTGCTAGCACCCTTCACTCCTAGTAGATTCAAGCATGCGGCCTGGGAAGCAAGCTGAGTTCCACCCCCCACAGTGCCTACCTCAATGGATGGCATGGTGACTGAGATGTGAAGATCTTTCCCTTCATTAACCGCCTCCATCATAGTTATACAGTGGGAGCTTTCAATGTTTTGTGCGGGGTCTTGTCCTGTGGCGATGAAGACGGCCGACACAATGTTGGCGGCGTGGGCGTTGAATCCCCCGAGAGCTCCAGCCATGGCGGATCCAGTTAGATTCTTGAGCATGTTGAGCTCTACTAAGGAGGCAACATCAGTTTTTAGTACTTTGTTAACTACATCTTCCTTTATTATGGCCTCGCAGACCACTGACTTACCGCGGCCTTCAATCCAATTGACAGCCGCAGGTTTCTTGTCGGAGCAGAAGTTGCCAGAGATGCCGATGATGTCCATGTCGGGGAAGTCGGTGGTCTGGAGGAAGTCCAATACGTTCTGGACGCCCTTGGATACCATGTTCATCCCCATGGCATCGCCAGTGCTGCAAGTGAATCTCATGTACAGATTCTTGCCGGCAATAGCGCATTTGATGGTTTGGAGGCGAGCGAAACGACTGGATTTATTGAATGCGGCGGCAATGGTCTCGAAACTTAAAGGGTCCTCCAAGAAAAGCTTCAACTGGGCGGCTCTTTTGGCGGTGGAGAATCTCACCACTGGAGCTCTAGTCATCCCATCCTTGAACACCACACTGGTTGCACCTCCGGAGGCATAGATGGCTTTGCAACCCCTGTTGGTGCTGGCCACCAAGCAACCCTCCGTGGTAGCCATGGGTACAGAGTACTCCTCACCGTCAAGCAAGAGCGGCCCCGCAATACCTACAGGAATCTGTACGTACCCAACTGGCATCTCGCAACACTGACCCAGAATTGATTCATAGTCAAAACTCTCCAAGGGAAGTCCGTCTAATGATTTGCCGGTTATTCTCTCCAAGGCCTTGCGACGGATGGCTGCAGCCCTCTTGCAATCCCCTAACTTTGACTCGAGGGAGTAGGATGGAATCCGACCTTCCGCAACACCATTGACTATCTCCTCATCTTCATCTTCATCTTCATCTTCGGACATTATTATTGGATCAGTAGATTTGATAGCAGCAGCAGGAGTGACATGCTGGTCATTTTCTAATTTTTTCTTCAGATTAGTAATCTTCTGTTTTTCTTCTTCATCTTCTTGGCTCTCCAATTCCTGCTGCTCTTGTAGAGGATTGAAGAAGCCCCCCAAGAGATAAACAAACGAAGCCGCAAAAGCGAGGAGGGCAGCCATCTCAGAGCTTGAGACAACATGGAGAGGCTTGGAGTGACGGATCTTGTCGCGCCAGCTAACGAGCAGGAAATAGACGGCCGCAAAGAAGACGGCGTTAGTAAGGTAGAGAAGCAGTGGGAGAGCGTTGGAATTAGGTGTATTTTCAGAGAAAGAATAATCAGATTTCTTATGTTTAACGGGAGAACTAATGGAAGTGGAAGTGGATGTGGGGCGAATTTGGATTTGCTTCAACTCCATCTTGCTTAGCTTAGCTCCTTCACAAATCAGAATTATATATATTCGATCTTAGGCAGGCAAATTGAACAACACAACAACAGGTTTTGAATCTAGCTATGATCGATTACAATCAAATTTGTTGTGTTACGTTGTTGGATGGATGAATTTAATTTGGTATGTATCTCAAGAAAAGAAAAGCTATATATTTATACAAGCTAAGTGATAATATTTCTTTAATTTGCATAGTACTTTCCTGGAAATGATAATTAAGCAGAGACCAGAGAGATGGAAATTAATTGAGTAATTATTATATTGGTTCAACATTATATTCTTCCACTTAGGCGGCTCACTTACTTCACTGCACTCCTTTCTTTTATTTAATTTCTCAGCTCACAGCTAGCACGTGTGAAATTCAGCTCGCTGTATAAGAATATTCAATGCTACTGCATGCGGCCATATGAAATATGATATACCTATTACTCAGCTCCTTCCGTCCACCATCTTAATCTTGTTATATTATTAGATATAACATATATATTTAGCCTCACTTACTTGACTGCATGCACCCATTTTTTAGGCTTTAGTTGTGGCAGCACGAGTGAAATTCACTATATTCAGCAGCTTGTACATTAGTCCATTATATTAAATATTCAATGCTACCTCATATACCCAACACCTCCAGGCGAGCAGGTTATTGAATCATCGATCTTAACCTTAAATTTAAAATATTACTTAGTGTACGTAGTCCAATAAAGGTGGGAAGCAAGCTTTTACGCATTGGAATAGTTAGTTCAATTGGTTCTCGGGTGACATATTGCAACCCAAAGACAAAGGATCAAATCCTAACAAACTAACCGTTCTTGAAAACAACAATTGCTTCAATTAAGCAATTATGTAAGCTGGATGCAATGGTCATGGCTGACTTTTCAATTTTACCTTCAATATAATGTTAACTACCGTTCATATACACTACAGTCGATTAAAATTTGAAAGAATTCAATGCTTCATAACTAAATTTGATCATTTTAAAAGTGAATGATTAAAATTGAAAATGAGTGATATATAGTCATCAAGAGATTAAATCTAGAATTAACTTAAATTTTAAGTGTGTTTGGCACTTATTTTGTATTTTTTTAGCGATCGAATATGTTATTATAAGTGTCTTGACATATTCATTGGGTGCTCAATATGATTCATTTTATTTGGTGAGATAATAAGGGGGCAAAGCTTTACTTTGAGTATATAAAGGATATATTAATCTTTAAGGCAATTTGGAGTTCAACTTATTTTCATTGCATCATCATCATCATTATTATTATTATTATAGCTTGCTCAATTGATTTGATTACACATCCCACGTGTTAGTGAAAGGTTTAATTTACCGAGATGGTTGTACGGTAACCGCAGCAATTATATGCAAAAGTAATAAGAAATACGGAATAAAGAAGTAGAGAAAAATGAGATCACAACAAGATCTAAGAACTCATCAACCTTTCTCTCTTATTGATCATAGCCACACACACACACACACACACACACACACACACACACACACAAAGATGGATGTAGGCAGGGACTTAGTGAACATATTCTCAACACAAGCACCAACACTATCATCATCACAAATATCACCCCAAGTTTAATTTGCGCACAACTAACCATCATCACCTTCAAGCATGCAATCACCAACATCCGTCTTCCCAAAATTGTTTTCTGCTTTGTTAACACATTTGGCCACTTGAGCTTTGATCTTCCAAGTTACGAATTGACGCTTGAGTCTCTTACCTTAGGGATGAGATTTCTTGCCTTAGATCTTGTTTCCATTCTTGCTGGAAGTGAGTCATGTCTTGTTTTAATTCTTCTAACATTGCCACGATCTTATTCCTCATGTCTTCCTTGCTTTCCCCCCTCATATGCTTGCATCATGTATGTTAGTGTTTTAATTGTTCAAAAACCCAAACTTATAATTGGCAATATTATTATGGCATACTCAGATAGGATTAGTTCAGTGTTTGTTTTGTTCCACAGAGGACTGGTCAACCAGATTCAACAACAGAAGGACTGACACTGAAGATCTATTTTAGGAAGCTGTTTTCCTAAATACTGTACGCGGTTTTACAGAAGTCAGATTTGGAAAGAAGATCAGCGTATCTTCTTTGGAAAGGTATGGACCGAATCCTTAAGATTACATTCTTCAAATATCGTCCTACCATCTACAATCAAAGACATCTATGGAAGGAGTGTTCTTTTGACAGAACTATAAGTATCCTCATTCGAAGAGAATTAGGGTTACGCCTTTGAGAAAGAAGAAAACACTTCACATCAGTTTGATGAGATCAGATCTTTGATTATCATGCCTCTTCTCAATACAACATGTTCATGGTGATTAAGATGACGAACTTGAGAAGAATCACTGCTGCTTAAACGAAAGGACACTGTGATCACACTGTTGTGGGAACAACTGTAAAGAGCGTCATTGAAGTGGACTGCATCAGAGTGGGCTCTCCAAGTGAAGGGATTTCATTGGACTTCTGTATGCATAGCTCTCCATCTTCAACAATCCACTAAACCTGTGTATACTGGGTTTGTACCTTGTGTGGAGCACTTGGGTAAGATTATTGTATATCTACCTTTGTACATCGGATTATGATTTAGTGGATTGGACGCTTATGTGATCATCCCCCAGACGTAGATACACATTGTATCGAACTGGGTAAACATTCTGTGTCGTTGGCTTTGTGGTGTTATCTTTTCTTTAATCTTCACTGTGATTAGGTATTACTGATTGAATTCATCGCTGAATCAGTCAGTCCATTTAGTCAGTTGATTAATCCAGTTAATCTGTTTAAAAAGAGAAAATGCAAAATTACATGTGGTATCAGAGCTTTTAAGTCTACATAGTGACTTGATCCGTACGGGCTGTTTTGTTTAGTTTTGCATTGTTCTCTGTCTTTTGGAAGTGCCTCTGTGTGTGTTTGTTGGCTGGTTGTTTGTTTTCAGGATGGATGCAAGTATGAAACCACCGGAACTAGATGGTCACAACTACTCTTTCTGGAAGGCTCGCATGGAGATATATCTCCAAGCACAAGGTACCAGGGTTTACCGTACTGTCCTAACTGGGTGTAGCCGTCCAATTGTTCAGAATGCAGATGGAACCACTGGAGATAAGCCCATGGAGACGTGGACAGACGATGAAATGAATGCCTCTGATCTAAACAACAAAGCTTTGAACTCGATTGTAGGATCTCTACATAAATCTGTTTTTACACTTGTCACCGGGGTAAAAGAAGCTAAACGTGTATGGGAAATTCTTGAAACCAGATTTGAGGGAACTAGTGATGTCAAGCAGTCAAAGATACAAATGGTACTATCAGAATTTGAAGCCCTTAGAATGAATGAAGAGGAAACCATTTCGACCTTTCACAGTCGGGTTCAGAATCTGATGAATAGAGCCTCAATTCTTGGTGAACCTTTCACTGATGAGAGAGTAGTCAAAAAGATCCTTCGATCTTTGCCTAAACTCTTCCGGATGAAAGTAACTGCTATTCAGGAACACACAGGTTAGGAAAAGAAGACTGTCAGAGAACTTATATTAAGCTTACACACATATGAACTAGAAGTGCTTGCGGATGACGATCTTGCAAGCAACAGAAAAGGAAAGTCAGTGGCTTTTGTGGCTGAGGCTGATCGAGAATCTGACACAGACGACATAGATGATGAAACCTTGGCTCTTCTAACAAAGAATTTCAAGAAAATATTAAAAGGTTTCAACAGAAAGAGTCAAGGTCAGCCCACCAGGACACAATACAAAGGCAATAACTCCTCATATCAGAAAGCCGAAACAACTCCCTTTTCACAGAACAATCAATCTCAGACTGGTCGAACAAGACAGAACAGAAATAGTTCCACAGACACAGGGAAGTCCCTCAACCGGTCAGTGCAGTGTAGAGAATGTGAAGGGTATAGTCACATACAGGCTGAATGTGCAACGTATCTCAAGAGGAAAAAGGCTATGTCAGTAGCTACATTAAGCGATGATGAGGAGGAAACATCCAATGATCAATCAGATGATAATGTGGGAAACTTTGTAGCCTTCTTTACAGCTACAGACATTCAGTCAGACGGAAACCAATCAGATGAAGAATCTTACATATCAACTGATGATTTTGAAGAGAGACATACTCAACTTGAAATAGAATTTGCTAAACTTGTTGCAAGCTGGGAACAACTAGTGAAAGTCAATAAAAATCTGAATGACGAGCTGAAGCAAAGGGATGAGCTTCTAAGAAAACTGAATACAGACCTTGTCATAAAAGAAGATCTCATCACTCAGATAAGAACCAGAGAAGGAAAACTGATAAAAGAATTGGAGGGTCTGAAGAAAAATATCCAGATGATGGACACCACATCAACCTTAGACAAGATTCTAGACTCTGGCAGAAATCCTAATGATAAAAAAGGTCTAGGATTTGAACGAGGTGAATCTTCGAATAATGCACCTATGTTTGTCAAAGAGGGTATGTTTAAGACCACAGCAGTTCACAGCTTTGAACAAGGACAGTCATCTCGGTCAGTGCAAAAAATTGACAAGAGAAGGAGATATGACCAGACTGCAGATACTGACCTTGCCAAAGTAACTCATCAATCTAATTATTCAAGGTTCAAGAATAAGCTTGTCAAAGTTAGACATTACACTCCCATTTTTCACTACTGTCAAACAAAAGGTCATACTTGGCCTGAATGTTATTTTTTCTACAGAGATCAAAGGAAGGAGAAATATCAGAACAAGACTATTACACCGTTTACTAGACAGGTTTGGGTCAAAAAGTCAAAAGTTATTTGCTACCCCACTATAGTTCTGACTGCGTCTACAACTGAAGCTAGATGGTATTTTGACAGTGGCTGTTCCAGACATATGACTGGAAATGTACAGTGTCTGATGGCTATTCAACCAAGCAGTGGAGTTGTAACATATGGAGATGGACAAAAAGGGAAAATAGTTGGGAAAGGCACCCTGAATGTACCAGGTTTGCCTCAATTAGAAGAAGTTCTGTTAGTCAGTGGGTTGAAAGCTAATCTGATTAGCATCAGTCAGTTGTGTGATCAAAATTGGAATGTGTGCTTCGATCGTAATTGTTGCAGAGTTAGTGACAA